TACATAGTTTGTGCAATTACAGTTATTTAAATTGAACGTTGAAAGATAATATTGATCATGTTCTATTCTGTAATGTTAATAGAAATCATACACTGTCAGAATAAAAATGTTGCATTTTATGCATGTAACAGCCTATCACTGGCAGTCCCTTATGAAAATGAACCATGGTTTTACTAAAGTGACCATAGTTCAACTGTAGTATTTGTAGATTTGAATCATGTGTAAACAAAAAAACGTATCTGAACCATGTGTAAACAAAAATAGAACCTAATAAGTTACAATTAAGGCGTATTGAATGTTAAAATGCGTTTTAAACAAAGTTAAGTGCTTATCATTATCCATTTTACGCTTAGTAATTTAATAATTTAATAAATTTAATAATTTAAAAGTTTAGTTCAGAAGTATTGAATCGGTATTGATATCGACGATACTGCCTTGAAAAATATCGGTATCGTATCGAAAACAAAATAAGTGGTATCGCCCATCCCTAGTGCAGGATTTGCCCAAAAGCTTTTGTTGAAAGACGGAGCAAGGGGGCGTGGCAGTACTTCAGACCGATGAGCTTTGTAAAAATCGACGCGTTTCAAAAAGGCGGGGCATAGAGGAGAAACAATAATGTACAGTATGTGGAAAATAATGTGTTTTTTGAACCTTAAACCGCATAAACACATTTCATTACACCAAATACACAAAATAATGTTCTTTTTAGCAGCATCATATGACCCCTTTAATAGAATTATAGAAAGACGTGTGAAAGAAAGGTATATCGTTTTAAGGAAATGCACAATTAGGTTTTACAGGAAAAAAGTGTTTACCACGCTTACCTACAAAAATACTATAAGAAACCATTTTATCTTATACAAACGTCGCTCATATGCAGATCGTCGACACGTGTCTCAGAGCATTTGCGCCGTGCTCGCTTAGCGTTCCGACGAGTGCGCAAACCATCTTAAAGTACTTCCGAAGAGCAAGAAGCACATCAGACTCACCACGCACTTCTGCTCCAGCCGGACATATTATTTTGTAATATGAGTATTGGAGGGCTTTTATTTTGGTATTCAACATCAGACAGTTACGGACTGTGTGTTGGGAAAAAACAAGTGGTGCTCGCTGCAGAGCCAAATGGGAGGGGCTAGACCTCTGAAAAAATCGCGTTCGCTGGAAGAGCACTGCATTCAGATCAGTTCTCTGACGGTTTTACCGTAATAGGCCGTTTATGCGCGACCCTCTAAATAACGTGGCGGCTAGATTGACCGTGCTTTTCGACTTGGCGGCTGGCTTGACCGCAGTGACTAACCTGAAGATGAGCACAGCACACATACTAACCTTCCCCGCTCTGCTCATGCTGCTCTACAGTAAGTATATTGATGATGCTTGGATTTCTCATTATCTGACTCTTTAGTTCGTTGTCTGTGTTCTGGACATTTTAAAAGAAAGAAATTTCTTACTATGGGAACTCTTGAGGGGTGAGTTGGAAAATACAGTTCATAACTTTCATGAATAATTTGTATATTTAGGCCTATTTGTTAAAAATTATACTTATTTTTATTATTTTATTTTATTTCTACTCGATTAAATTATTTTTAAAGTGTTAAAGTGCCTTGTAATTAGAATTGGCTATAACACTGAGAAAATGGCATAAGGTTTAAAAGTTATTACAAATAATTATAAAAAAGAATTTGTTTTTATAGTTTTTAAAAATTGAATTAAATGTTTTTTTTATTTTATTTTATTTGTCTATCGACATCAGCTTTGTGAATAGATTTGTTTCAAATTCAAAACTGTTTGATTTGTGTGTGTGTGCTTTTTCAAAGAGACATGGATGCTTTGAGGCTCTGGATTGGGTGGGTGGGGGTCTTGTAAAACACTGTTTACACAAACTTCTCAAACTGCATTTTGAACACATGAGATCCTGAGGGTGATAAAATGTCTGTGAAGAAGTTGTCCAGATCTGAACTTCACTCTGATGTGGCAGGGACCCTTTCATGTCACTGATGCCCCTTGACTGAATCCTTGTGTATTGGTCATTATCATGGAGATTATGGTTACCCAGCATACCATGAGAAATTCTTTATCCCGTCTAGTCTATAGATCCAAATATCTGTTAACCACATGAAGTTTTGCAGCTTATATAAAATGGCATTTTTTTGTTATAAGAATGTATATTAAAATTATGAATATAGCTAAAATGTTGACTTTGACAAAATTGATTGGTTTTATTCTGATAACTTTCATGTTGCAGGCCACTAAGTGATAGTTAGGGTTGTTAAATACCTTGTGGGGTGGGCTGTGATTGTAACCCCAGTCCTCTTCCAGCTGAAGACGTTTTAAGTTACAGCAGCATAGTAGGTCTTTGTATCTCTGGGTAAAAAGACCCTATCCAGCCTTTCTCTCTCTAGTCTCATGAAAGTCAGTTCTTTTCTACTGTTAACACATCCAGTGGACTATAGAAAAGGTCTTGCACAGTCAAAGGAGAGTGTTTTCCCTCACTTTCCCCAGAAGTGCATGTTTTCAGTGTGTGAGGAGGTTATCAGGCTTGATTTGGACTGCCACCCCCCACTACACACAGCCAGACTGTGTCAGAACATCCATCCATTACTTAAATTCCTACACATCCCTGTTCCTGGCACCACCAGAGCGGGGAGTGAGTGTTAGTGAGGTTTCACATTTGAGGAGAAACTCAAATCTGTTCATTCTGAAATCTGTTTACTGTATTCTTCCTATTTACCTAAATATTATATAATATAAGGGGCATGATATATAGGAAAAAAATCTAACACACTCTTGAGTAATCAGTGTCATTTAAACAAATATTCTGGGTTAAATTGAGGTTATGTGCCAGGATTTCAGTTTGTCCTGAACAAAAACTTCCCCCATAGTCTTTCATTGAAAGTTTAATTTTTGTCCGCTATTATAAAAATGCTGTGGGAGGGATTTTTTGTGATGTGTTACAACATTCATGTGTTCATTTGTATATTCCCTCTCCTCCAGTTCCTAGCTCAGATTCTGTTACTGTGACGACAAGCAAAGCCAAAGTGGAGGTACATGAAAACACAAGTAAGATCATTAGTCTTCAGATAATCAGCTTGACATATTTAGATATATAAAAGCTTTCAGACCATATTGATTTGACTCTTCTGTCTGTTCTTTGCAAAAGATGCTGTCCTGTCCTGTGAATTCAAGACGGAGAAAGAAACAAACCCACGTGTTGAATGGAAGAAGAGAGGCAAAGATGTTTCGTATGTTTATTTTGATGGAGATTTTACAGGTACTGTAGGTTGTTGTTTTGCCCACTTTCATATTAATTGCAACCATGTCCCTAAACATGTCCCCCATCTCTCTCATTTGCATATTGCTTTAGATATTTTATCATTTTAAAGGGGAAGTGCGTCATTAAAATGACTTTTGGCAGTAAATTACATTCTATTTGGTGTGTCACATTAGTGAAATTTTGGCCAAAAAATTTTCGCCCACGAAAATTTGCCAATCAACAGTAAATCTGATTGCACCTTAATGTCTTTCAGTGAATATTTGTTTTGTGCTTTCATTACATATATTTAGGGGCCAAGCACCGAAGGTGCGTAAGACACCTATTGTATCTGTTGGCGTTCTTATTCTTCTTCTTTTTCCATTTCTTCCTCTCTTGAGTCTATGGCAGCCCATAGAACTGCTTGCGGGAAAGTTGTGAAATTTGGTACACTGATAGAGGACAGTCTCAACATTAACCACAGCAAACGAAACCACCGTAGGAAATTCGGAAACATAGCGTGAGGAGCAATGCTAATGCCCAATTGCCAAAATTTTGATAGTAAGTGGCAAATAAATGCAAAGTCGGCCATCAGTCATTTTTTCTCTTCTCATATATAAAAATGTCTATAACTCCAAAACAAAATGAGATATTTTCACCAAATTTGACAGATGTATGGGCACACTCTAAGGACACATAAAAAATTTGGTGGGATTGTGCCTCTTAGTGGCACTATAATTGAACAAAACATGAAATTGCCATCTACTACAATAGAGTATTGTGATATAAAATGCTATATTTTACGAATGCATTGGTGTACCGTTACGAAACCCTGTATGTACCATCGAGACAATGACCTGAAAGTACTCAAAAAGTTTTGAGACAGTGCCACCTTGTGGTCAAAAGTTATAATGAAATTTCAAATAAATGCTAATAGCTTTCTGTGAATTTTGCCTATTGTAAGAGACTGGTATTAATAGATTCCTTGGGTCATGCTGAGAACAGAGATACCAATGTTCAAAACCTACTTTTTCGAACTCCTCCTAGACCGTTGGTCCGATTTTCACCAAAATCGAATCATATCATCTTCAGACTATGCTGACAAAAAGTTATGGATTTTGTGTTGATAGACAAAACCGTTTTCACATACCACAGCAACGAATTTGAGGCATGATGCCAAAATGACACTTGAGGCTGTATCTCTGCAATGCTTTGGCATATTGACACCAAACTTTGTGTGTGCCATTGTCAACTCCTACAGAACACACCACATCGATTTGATGGTTGTATTTATGATTTTTCAGACATTTTGACTAAAATCATCCTAAAATGGCTTCAATTACTAATTTCTTCAGTTGGTCTGATGCTTGCTTCTGTAGTGCTTGGCCCCATAATTGCTGCTTGCAGCTATATTTTTTCTTTAAACTGTTCTGACTTTTACTATTACCAGGTTCATTTAAGGGCAGTGCATCCATCAACGGGGCAACAATGACCCTCCGTGGTGTTACACAGAAAGACTCAGGAGTGTATCATTGCGAAGTCACAGCCCGCCATGACAAAATCAAGCTGGGGGAGGTCACTGTCACCCTCAATGTGCTTGGTGAGAATTAAAATCTTTTTAATTATTCGATCTTGTAATCTCCTTTTCATTATTTACATGAATATATGAATGAATGAATATACACCAAAAATATTCATAACTCTCAGTCTTAAACACAACCTTTCTATCACTGACCAATGTAATGCAACTCTGTCTTACATGGACAGTGGCACCACATGCGCCGTCATGTGAGGTCCCAGAAACAGTCATGAGAGGATTTTCTGCAGAGCTCCACTGCAAAGACAAACTGAGTGTTCCCACTGCCACCTACAGCTGGTACAAAGACAACAAACCACTTCACACAAGCAATCTCCCTGAAATCAACTACACCCTGGACCCCAAAACAGGGACTCTGGTTGGTGTAATGCTCATCTCTTTTTTTTTCCCACTGACAAACTTGTATTTTGATAAAAAACTAGATAAAACTGGCTAAAACTGTTAGCCTTTTCCCCTGATAGCTAACAAACGCTGCTTATGTTTGTTTGGCTTTGATGCACTCATGACATGTCAAGCATGATTTATATATACCGTTTCTTTTCCTTTGCTTTTGAGCAGAAGTTCAAGGTGGTGTCAAAATCTGATGAGGGTCAGTATCGATGTGAGGCCTCCAATGGGGTGGGGGCACCCAAAAGTTGTGCAGGCCGGCATATGAAGATAACTGAATGTAAGTTAAGTTCATTTTGGTCTTTTTAAAGGGTCAGAAAAAAAAGAGAAATCAGTTTTACTTGATATTTTGTAATACAGTAAAAGAGTTGAAAATGTAGGCATTTACAGCAAAGTCTTAAAGGTACAGTAGCAGAAAAACCCTTATGTTCTGTTGAGGATGACTATACTGTCTTTGTTTGGGGACCAAGAGAAAAATATTAATGGCAGTAATTAAGTAATTATTTTTCCTTAAAGTTCCTCTGTTTTATCACAAATAGGTAATTTTCAGAAATGCGACTGGCCTCTGCACTATTGTTCAAAGTTTGGGGTCAGTTGAATTTTTTGGGAAAGAAATTAATACTTTTATTCAGCAAGGATGCAGTGATCAGAGTTGAGACATTAATGCATAAATGTACATAAATGTATCACTGTCTGTTTCCATAAAAATATTAAGCAGCACAGCTGTTTTCAACATTGATAATAATCAGAAATGTTTCTTGACACCAGTTAACTTGTAATATTTCATAATATTGCCGTTTCTGCGGTATTTTTGATTAAATAAATGCAGTGATGAGTATAAGGAACTTATTTAAAAAAAAATGTATCAACCTCGAACTTTTGAATGGTATTCTAGTAATGTTGTTTCTGTTTGGGATCATTTTGACCACAGCAAAAAGAGTCAATTTTTTTAGATACCAAACAAAACATGAGGGTTAACTCAAAAGGTCAGAGAGAAAACTGAATTAGTTTTGCCACAAAATCCTTGGCTAACATAATAATTGGACCAAGTGTAAATGAATATCTGTTTGACATGCTCTGTTGCAGTTGAGCTGAACATGCCAGTAGTTATAGCAATAGAAGTGGGAGCGTTCCTGTTCCTCCTCTCGTGCTGTGTTGCCATCTGTCTGTGCTGCAGAAGAGGGTGCTGTTGTTGCTGCTGCCGCAGTGAGTACCACTTTACTCAAACTAACACAATCTAAACAGGCTGTTTAACTTTGAAATATGTCTTGTCCTTATCTTCTAACATAAGTCTCGAATTTACCAACAGAGAATAAAGGAGAGACAAAACAAAGGTAAGTCTTATGCAGTATTTTTAATGCACTCTTTCCTATAAGAATAATACATAACATACCTTTAGAAACAAAGCAGTTATTTCTTTGCACTTTTCAGCAGAACAAAGACCAGCTATAACCCTCCAGATGTAAGTTTCCTATTGATAACTCACTAGTCAAATAGTATAATACTGGCACTAAAGAGATTTCTGATTATAATAATGGCTTGTCTTCATCCCATTGTTCATCTCTCTCCTCAGCCGAGACGCTACAAACATACACAATCCTTTGTGCTATGACGTGTGCACATACTGGACAGTGCTGTGCTAAAAGAAGTGAAGTTTCTTTTGTGTTACTGTAAAAAGCTTTTTATTTTTCAATTTGAGTATTCATTTTTTTAGATAGCATGTAGTATTTTAATTGTCTCATATCTGTTTGACTTCTCACAACTAAGCTTTACTTGTCTCAGGATGTCTCTAAAGTCCTTTAATCATCATACACTCAATGTTTTAGTAGACATGAATCACAAGCACCTTGACTTGTTTCATTCAGAAGTATAATCTGTTGTCTGATGATGGGTATTTCTCAATGAAATGCCACTTGCTTATTAAAGGAATAGTTCACCCAAAAAGATTTGATGCTCTATCAATCATTTACCCTCATGTCCTTCCAAACCTGTATATGACTTACTTTCTTCTGTGACTCAAAAAAGATATTTTGAAGAATCACACACACACACACACACACACACAGTCATTTCTGAAAATATCTTCTTTTATGCTCCACATAAGCAACAAAGCTATACAGGTATGGAACAACATAAGGTTGTGTAAATGATGACAGAATTTTAATTTTAACATCTTTTAAACAAAGATAAAAAATGTGTCTAAGCTAATTTAACTATTTGGTTTAGCTGGTGTGTGGCTCAAATGAATCAGCAGTGTCTCCAAAAACGAGATGTTCTGGTCTTTTGTTACATTAACTGATGTAAAATAAAGTAAATGCAAAATTCACACTCTGCTGCCATATTTATTCCTCTTCTTACACAGATTAAAACACTGTAGCATATATTTTCAATGTTACATAATGCACAAATCAGTTGATTTTTCCAAGTTAATAGTCACATCCAACAGTGTGAGACATTTCATTAAACACAAAATGTCCATAATGCTGGAAACATTTACTTGAAGAGTCACAGCACTGGAATGTCCATCAGCAGGAATAATTCAAATCACTCTTTAGAATAGAATAAAATGTGCTTTAAGTGTGCACAAACACTAAGAATTTGTTGTAGTTTCAAGGAGCTCTGAGGTACATACATACACATATAAGTCAAAATAATAAACATAAAAATACATATAAAAAACCAAACTAACACACATAGATTGAGTAAGATAAAGACATTAATATGTATCTACATATGTATCCATTAATGCGTCGATTTTCACACTTAAGGCACTGTTAAAGTCACCACCTTCCGTTATCTGGTGCTGGCTTTTTTTTTGGCACAAATAAATAACTGTATATATTATGATACATGGTTAAAAACTGCACAGAGTGGGGTTGTATATGTTGCTGTCAGTGGGCAGCGAGGCCTCCTGCTCATCCCCGCCCCCAATGCAGTGTTGACCAAAAACCAGCATGAACATTCACTCAACTTATTAGCACACACACTAAACTATAGCCCGACACCCAGCTTTAGTGCGCAAAACTCCAACACAGCACTTACTGAACGGGATAAAGAGGTACGTCGGGCCGCAATACTAATTAATGTGAGCTAAACGCGGTCAAAAAGGAGTATGTTGCATATGTGTGAGGTTATAAGCGTGTCAGTTTTCCCGCTTTCTGCGCGAGCTAACTGTTAGCATCCTGAGAGGAACAGAGCTATTAGCTGGAGTGCTAACAGAACTGACTGTAAGCCAGCCAGCCCTCTCACGCCCGACTAGCAGTAGGTAAACATACTTGTAAACTTTATTCTGGATAATTTAAAATATATTTGTTTCCATCGAAATATGTCGTTGACGCATATAACTCGTCGCGAAAATCAAACGCGCGTGTTTCCGTAAAAGTTAGCGCGAGTTGTCCGCGCGAGCAGACATTCAGTTCAAGCAGGCGTGTCTTTTGTCAGCATCAGCTAAGCAGCTAACAAAGAGGCCAGGTATACATACATATTCCATCCATGATTGTACATGCCGTAGACATTCTAGTCCGCACGAACCGCGTAATTAAACACCGTGATGTTTCTTCAGTCGCACGGCTGTTTTCGGAAGTCTGTCAGCCGCCGTTACTTCGGCCAGGATTTCCGGCTGCTTTTACATCTGCCCTTCTCTTGTTTTGTTTCCGTTTCTTCCATTTCCGTTTTAACTTTCCAGAATCAAAAGTCTTGATGTGTAGCTACCCCTGGAAGTTTCAGAAGTTTTAAAAAGTCGTCTTTTACGCCCAATTTTGCGGTTATATTGCGAAACCCAAAAGCACTCCAACATGGCAACTGCGTTTGTATCGATTCGCGCGTCGTCTTCCCACCCAGCCGCTGGTGGAAATTATATTAATAAAGCGTTCCCGTTTAAATACACACATTAAAATAATAAATGGATTGAACAAATGGATTGCATGTTTAATAAATACGTGCGTCTCCTGTGTTTAATAAGAGTGCTGATGTGGGGAAAATGCCATGGTGGGCCTGTACTCGAGCAAAGCCTCGGTGTTGCGTGAGAGTTTATTGGACTTCAGAGATTTCTTAGAACGCAAGAGTGCGTTAACCTGACCATGTAGTGACTTTTAGGCACATTTGTATGTTTTGTATTACTTTGTGTTCATTAAAATGCTAAGCATAATGTAAAATTAAGTATTCCAGTTTTTATTTTTAAGTATATACATGTAAAAATAATTAGGTAACACTTTACAATATTATTTGTTAACATTGGTTACCATAAACTAACAATGAACAATATTACTACAGCATTTATTAATCTTAGTTACTGTTCAACATTTACTAATACATTTGATAAATCAAATCTTTTAATGCTCGGTGAACTAACATGAACAGTTGTGTTTATATAAACTAACATTAACAAATATTAATAAATGCTGTAAAAAATTAAAAGGTAAATGAGTCATTGTTCTTTAGTGTTAGCTAATGCTTCAACCAATATTAACAAATGTGACCTTATTGTAAAGTGTAACTGATAATTCTTGTTCACTTTTTTTGTGATTAGCTGCAAAAGAATGTGTCTTTTAACTGTTATATTTTTTTATGTATTTGCTTTGTAGTTGGACAAGGAGTTGAAGGGATGTCAAAAAGTGAGACAGAGGAGATGATTGAAATTGAGATTGATGGACGGGAGAAACAGGAGTGTCTAGAGGAAGGGTAAGTGCTTTTTCATTCTTTCTCTTCCTTTTTTTCCCTTCTCTGTTTGATGTGTTTAGAGGAATCATCTCATTGAGCAATGTGTGTCTTGTGCCTGTGAAATGATCTGTTTCATGTGACCAAATGTCAGGATCGAGGAGCAAACCATCACAGCAGCTGAACTGATTACTCAAGACATTGACATCAATGAGCCAATCGGTGACCTGAAGAAGTTACTGGAGCCTCGTCTTCAGGTCCCGCTGGATGGATATGACATTTGTCTGCAGGACATCCTAGTATGTTCTTTTATATGAATGTAATCTTATTTGAGTGCACTCATTGTATTCATGGATTAAGCTCTTCACTTCCTGACTCTGCTTCTTTCCTCATGTAGTTGCATCCTGATCACAGCCTGTTCGATCAAGGAGTGAAGACAGATGGTACAGTACAGCTCAGCGTGCAGATTGTCACGAAACCGGGTAACAGTTTACAATGATCTCATATTGCTGTTGGACAAATCTCAACTTGTCAACATGCCCTTCAGGCAAATGAAAATCTTTGGGTAGTTGACGTGTCCTGCGAAGTGACGTGCTGTTGTAAACAGCACTTAGCTAATTCTTTTATAATTATTCATGCCGCTTTTATGAGCTCATAGTAATTGAGGGACTACATGAGTATTTGCACTTCTAAAAAATAATCACACCAAGGACCATTTAAAATGAATTAGGGAAGGCAAAAACATTGTTAAAAATAGTGGAAAAACTTCAAATGAAATCACCAGTTACATAAGATATTGTTTCCTTTATATATTCATATAAATTAAATACTAAGATAGAACTTCATTAAAAAAAAGTTATCCGGCAACTACCCATTTACAGCAATAATAAAACATTAATATAAATGTGACTTGCTTGTGGGTTTGTGGTCTGTTTTAGGTGAAGAAAAATTGAATATTCTGGAGATTGTGAAACCAGTGGAGACTGTGGAGGTGGTGATCGATCCAGACGCAGCTGCTGGTGAGGAAGCCCATCTGGTGGAGGATGGACACATGATTGCAGTGGAGCGAGCCACCATTCCTGATGAGACTTCAGAGCAGGTGACCCGCTGGGCGGCCGCATTGGAAGGGTACCGCAAGGAGCAGGTTCGACTGAACATTCCCTATGGTGAGTTTTCCATTGATGTTAACATGTTTCAGAGTTAAATCTAAATATTTAATGGATTTAGTAACAGTGTAGTAGTAGGCACAGATGATGAGTACTATATCACACATACACTAGTGTTCAGAAATTTGGGGTCGCTAAGATTTTTTTAAATTTCACCAAGGCTGCATTTATTTGAACAAAAATACAGTAAAACAGTACTGTAAAAAATACAGTAATACTGTGAAATATTATTAAAAATAACTGTTTTCTGTTTCAATATATTTTAAAATGTAATTTATTCCTGTGATGGCAAAGCTGAATTTTCAGTATCATTACTCCAGTCTGCAGTGTCACATGATCTTTCATAAATCATTCTAATTTGGTGATTTGGTGCTCAAGAAACATTTATTATTATTATTATTATTAGTGTTGAAATATTTTTGTGGAAACCATGATACTTTTTCTTCTGGATTTTTTGATGAATAGAAAGTTCAAAAGAACAGCATTTATATGGAATTAGAAATCTTTTGTTACATTGAAAGTGTCTTTACTGTCACCTTAATCAATTTAATGTGTCCTTGCTGTATAAAAGTATTAATTTCTTTAAAAAAAATCTTACTGACTCCAGAGTTTTGCACAGTAGTGTATGCATTTCTACTAAATAATTTCATACACCATGAAGCCTCAAATGGCAATGAATTGTAAAAGAAATCACAATTGAATTATTTTGTTACAACTCATATCAGATTCACATCTGAATATAAGTCAGGAATTATTTTGGGTTAAGAAATGAACATGTAATACACTTGGTATTATTATAGTAAATTATCAACTTTAAAATATTAAATTCTGTAAATGTTGTAATACATTTTCATTGTCAGAACAGTGCATTTTTACATCCCTAGTCAGTAGCAGTATCATTTAATGAGCTTTATGTGTCTGTCTGTCAGACCCGGTGCAGTGGACAGCAGATCAGGTGATCCACTGGGCAGTTTGGGTTATGAAAGAGTTCGGCATTGAGGAAATGGAGGTGGGTGGCATTCACATTCCCGGCCGCCAGCTCTGTGGTTTCAGCCAGGAGGAGTTCCTCCAGAGAGTGCCCAGCGGAGAGATCCTGTGGAGCCACCTGGAGCTTCTACGCAAGTGTAAGTTTCACATAGGAAAGAGAGTGTGCTCTCCAACTTCTCTATCACAATATTTTTAATCTCTTTAATGCTCTGTGCAGATGTACTTGCGAGTCAGGATCAGGGTCAGGAAGCAACAGTCACCATTGATCAACGTGAGTATCAGTAGATCCTGAATCTTGTCTGTTTTTGCAGTTGTTTCTCTTCAGTTTTATCAACAAAAGCACCTTTTGAGTACCTTCTTGAATAACACATTTTGTATAACCTGCACATGATTTGCTTAAAGGGCAGTTTGTGTCTCTAGGCAACACTTAAGCTTTTCGATGAAAGGAGCATGTGTTGGTCTTCTGGGTAACACAGTTTCTTGTTATTCTCCAGCTGTGCAGATCATTCCTGCCCCTGTGCAGCAGGCCACACCTACAGCCATTAAGGTGATGAAGCACAACAAAACACCCCGAGCCCCCCGTATCTCAGGAGAGGAGCGCAGCTCCCCTGGCAACCGCACAGGTGCATACAAATGTTTATGTGTAAAAGCTCAGGTTTATCAATATTAGTATATTTATATGAAATAATGCATGTAAGTGGTGTAAATTTAGTTTTTAATAATACATTTATTTTTTTGTATAAATTACATCGTTATTTGCAATGAATTAAATTGTCATATAATATTGATGATGATATCAGTAATTCATTTTTGAAATGTAAAATTACTGTTCTATAGTATGGGGCCAGTATAATTTTTTTTTTTTAAAGGAAATGATTACTTTTATTCAGGAAGGACACATTAAATCAACCAAAAGTGACAGTAAAAAACTTTCAGATTAAAAAAAAAAACTATTTCAAATAAGTGTTCTATTAAACGTTCTTTTCCTCAAAGAATCATGAAAAATATGTATCTCAGTTTGTACAAGAATAAGTAGCACAACTGTTTTCAACATTTATTAAAAAAATACAAATAAAATTTGAGCACCTAATTAGCATTTTAGAATGATCAGAATCTGGAGGATAATATGAAACTGAAGACTAGAGTAATGGCTGCTGAATATTCAGCTTTGCCATGACAGAAAAAAGTACATAAAACATATATATATTAAAATAAAAAAACATTTATTTTAAATGGTAATATTTCACAATATTACTGTTTTACAGTATTTTTGATCAAATGAATGCAGCCTTGTTAAGAGACAACATAAAAAAAAAAGAAGAAAAAAAAGACCCCAAATGTTTTAATGGTAGCATACATATTGGTGAAATGTCGGATGCTTATATAATCTAATGTTGTCTTTCATTTTATGGTCCATGGTGGAAGAGTATTTTCCTCTTTCTGCCATTCACATTTAACATCCTGTGGTATGTGTTCCATTCAAATCGCATCTTGTGAATTTAATGGGAGCCATTCCTTAAATTCTGAATTTTGCCAAACCCTTCTGCTAAGAAAAATAAGAATAGACATCTCATATGCAAAACTCTAATAAATGATTGTAGAATTGATTATGATTGTGTTGTGTGTCATCTCAGGTAATAATGGTCAGATTCAGCTGTGGCAGTTTCTTTTGGAGCTGCTGACGGATAAGGACTCTCGGGACTGCATTTCCTGGGTGGGAGAGGAGGGCGAGTTCAAACTCAATCAGCCTGAGCTGGTAGCTCAGAAATGGGGTCAGCGCAAGAACAAGCCCACCATGAACTACGAGAAGCTAAGCAGAGCTCTCAGGTGCGAGTGTATCATTTCGCCTCTCTAGTTTAGGTGCTTTTGGAGGGATGCAGCTAGTATTCAGCAAAAACATCAATGACAACACTAACTCTATCCATCAAATCTCGTCTCCCCTAAACAGGTACTACTATGACGGAGACATGATCAGCAAAGTGCAGGGCAAGCGCTTTGTCTACAAGTTTGTGTGCGACCTGAGGACTCTGATCGGATACAGCGCCGCAGAGCTCAACAGCCTGGTGACGGAGTGTGAACAGAAGAAACTCGCCCGGGTGCAGCTGCACGGTCTCGGCCAGTCTGTCAACACAGTCACGCTGGCCACTGCCACAGGCCAGCCCGTCACCACAGTCACTCTGGCTGCAGCAGCTTTGGAGAAAGACAGTTGAGGAGGGAGTGGCTTGTTATTCCCAGCCAATCAGGAGACAAGTTTAAGATGGGAGGAAACCGGGTTCAACATTTGACTTTGGGCAGGGTGGGAAACTGCGGGTTTGTAAGCAGATGTGCGCTTTGTTGCGAGTGTGTATGTATGTTTGAGCATCCTTAAAATGCTTATAGAGCGAATGTTTGTGTGGATGTGAGAGACAAAGTATAGATGATCACGTATGAGCTTTCAGTTTTTGTACGCTTGTTCTCTGACTGCAGGGTAGCATCGGCTATATTTCCATTGTATATACTCTGTTTTTGATAGCCACGTGGGCAGTGTATTTTGATATTTTCCATTTGTAAAGGATCTTTTCTTTTTTATTTTTGTGTCCAATTCCCTCAAGGTGAGGTACTTTTTACTGTCCACCAGAGGACAATAAAGAGACAGTTGTTTTTTTAATTGCCCTGGTCTTGCATAATGCAGCAGAAATCAAATGCACCCTTTGTTTCTTGTTTGTGCACCAAACACCACATCACAAGGAGTTTGTATGTACATTCAAAACTTTATTAATGGATTAGTGTTGTAGAAAGCTTTTCCCCTTCTAAGCCAATGGTTTGAATAGACATTGAAGGAAAATGTCACAGAAAGAGCTTTCTTTGTTCCCTACTGACCACAGACACTCACCTCAGAGTATCTACTAATCAGCACAACACCAGATTTTAGAGCTAAGGTAATTCTATACAGGAACGTAATGAGCAGTGTGCACTGTGACATAACTGCACAATGTTTGAATTGGTTAATGGCTGTGTCTCATACAATGTATTTTACAACAGTTCACAATTTCCTTCAACATCATGGCACTTTTGAAATAACTATTAAGAGGTCATTTCAAAAGACCGCATGGCATGAATTCATTACATTAATATTTCATATCTACCCGTTCCTTCCTATCTGCTCTGGCCTGTAAGGTGCTATGAGATACTTCAGTGAAACAATAAAAGAGGGGGAGAAGGTGAGGTGTTTCTGTCCCAAAATGTGTTCGTGAATATCACAGACACTGGGGGAAATACAAGAGGGCAAAGTGGGACAAAAATCACACAATCCAAAAATGGTGGCTATTTCTGAAGCAAAATCCCACCAGCACTCCATACCGCCCTTCCCTAATCCCGGCCCCATACCAAATCCCAACATGGAATAAAACTTAATGAGGCAAAAAGGGCCTAGACCCTTCAAAAAAAAAAAAAAAAAATGCAGAGTGCGTAGAACGTTAAAGAACCAAAACGTGGGGTAATATTACACTTCATAATACTATACATACATCTTTTTCCAGCCCCATGCAACCATTTAAGTGTGTGTGGCATGGTCCAAAAGAAATAAAAAGCACACTTTGATTAAAGCATGTCCCTGTGCAGATTTTTTTTCACTTATTTAAAATGGGATCACAAGAATACAATAAAATGTACAATCCAGCTACAATCTACATGAGAGAGGTCAAAGTCTGCGTCTGGATTCAGAAACCATCTCTCTGTTAAAATTGCCATGCACTATATAGATACAGCTAGTTTCTGCCTAATTCAATACATACTACACACAAAATAAAAACCAAACATTCATTTCTTATCTCTGTAAATGTTTTTTTTATACCTTTTTTTTTTTTTTTTCAATGTATGGATTTTTATATATATATATATATATATAATTTTTTTCCAGAAAAAAAAACAAAAAAAAGAAACCCTGAATGAAAAGTTAAACAATGAGTACATTATTCGGCATCTGGTTGTTTGTGGTTGGAGCCTCATGTAGCCAAACACAGCACCGCATCATCTGTGTGCTCAGGAAAAAGGAAGGAGGGAGGAGGAAGGAAACGTGCAAACAAAAAGAGAAGGCGACGTAAGTGCTTAAGGAAGTTCTGGAGGGGAACATAAATGGTCGAGAGAGAGTAGAGAAAGAAAAAAATAAAACTTGATGGTTTAGAGGATCATGGGTAAGTTAGAAGGAAAGCATGGGCAAAGAGAATGCTTCATTCACCAGAGTGCTGTGATGGACAGGCATGGGAGCGCACAGATGGACCAACGTACTGACAGATGGCTGGATGGGCAGCAATGACACATCACTCTTCTGTGCAAACTGAGTGAGCGCTCATTCGATTGGATGAAATGGTCAGGTGATGGAAGCCACTCTCATCTCCATGGTGACAGAGCTGAGCGATAGTGTGAATGAGGGATCAGTCTGCATTCGCTGTCCTGATAGAGTGGGGTGATGGTTGGTGGTGAGGGGGAGTGTGGGGATCTGAAGTGGTTCTTTAGTTCTGCATTTGCTCGAAGAACTTGTAGGTGGGGTTCTCATAGCCGTTCTGCTGCATCTTAGTGAGATGACGTTCCTCAGGAGTCACTGCTGCATCCACCTGAGACAGAAAAAATGAGGTTGTCATTAAAAATGTTTGCTCAGACCTAGACTAAGATTCCCAGCAGTTTATTTATATACTATTAATATTTATTATTTTGACCCATTACTTTTATATTTTTAGTTTTTATTTGAATGTTAAAGTTTCATAAATTGTATGTGCTTTTTTTTTCCATTTAGCTTTTATTTTTTATTTCAGGTTTTGATTTAGTAATTTTAGTATTTAAAAACTAAAAATGTTGCCTAACTGAAATAAAAAAGTTTTCATCTAATAATTATATTTTATTTCAGCTTTATTTCAATACGTGAAACTGATTTTTAATAGTTTTATGCCTTTTTACTGATTAATTTCCATGATATTTTTCCAGACCTTCATGATGGTGGATACCCATAAGACAAATAAATATATATTTTCTGGCCAAAATATATTTTAAATAAATGCTATATATATGTTCTATGAAATACATTTCCAATCTTAGAGTAGCCTACATTTAAGCTAAATGCAAATGTGAATGGAATAACCTACTAGAGATCAAAACCAGATTTATTTTTTATTTTTATATATACAGTAATATTGTAATTTTTTGAAGCAATGTAAACTATGTTGATTTTTATTCACGTAATAGACAACAAATATATATATTTTTTTTTCAAACATGACATATGAATGTACTTCCTTGGATTGAAATATATGGAGGTCAAAATATATTTTTAAATGCTTTAAAAATATATTAATATATTTTAAATGGCCAAAAATATATTGGTAGTGAATATATTTACATTAATATATTTATATATTACATGATATATTCATGTAAATATATTGACATTTTTTATATATTGTTTGGCCATTTTTTGTATAAAAAAATATATTTGAAAATGTAGATTATTTTTTCATACGGGTAATGATTTTTAAATCATTTTAAAAAGGCTGCACTTTCTAGTTGAAAGAGTGATTTCTTTCTGATGAAATGTTTTAGAGCCTGCAGCAGACATTTCTTTTAATATTTTTAATATAATGTACCAGTAATATTTTTTTTATTACTCACAAGACATTTCCCAGTCTACAAATAAAACAATGGTGATAGAAATATATAAGACTTCAAATGCAAAAATCTCTTAAGTCCGTCTGAGATCTTTCCGAGATTTTTCTTTTAAATGAGCATTTTTTTATCAGGCTCCTACGTATTAGTATTAGTAGTATTAGTAATGGCAAAGAAAATGTTATTAGTCAGTTACTGAATGCCTTATTTTCAGAAATGTCCAATGATATTTTCATAGAAGCCTGATAAAAAAAAGCTGATTTGAAAGAAATCTCAGACGGACTTAGAGTCTTCATATGTTTATAACATGCGTCTCACCTCAATAACTCCATGGTGAATGTTAGTGTACTGCTTCTTCCTTAACATAACAAGAGTGATTACGATGACAGTAGCGATGACAACTCCACCCACCATCAGCCCAATGATTGCCCCCTTATTAGAGCCCATGTCTTCTGCAAGGAACATCTGAACACAAACACATTTATTACTTTGTAAAATGTGAAATACGAGATACATATTGTATTTTATCTCTATATATTTTTAGCAAAATATTTGTGTAAATTGTTGTACCAGTCTCTTGTCACGAACATCATAACCAGTGTTGTGCCTTTCCTCAATGTCCAGACGAACCTTTGGAATCTCTACAAACAACCACACATAGGAACATAATGATTAGATATATGATATTAAACAATGGCTGAAAATAACATGTACACACTTACCGGGTCTCGTAGGCAGACCCTTATCTGGAATTGGACGGACATCTACGGGTTCAACTGAACAAGACACAAAAAGCTGTTCAGACTCTTCTAAATGTAATGTAAATGTAGTGTATAGTTGTATATTATTGGTTACTTAATATCCGTTTATGTTGATCATAAAAATGGGCCTTTTAAAAGTTTGCAGTTCAGTTACAGCATTCAGTGTGCAAATGTTTACCGTGGTTGTCAGTGTTGGCCTGGTTGAAGCTTTCGGGGTGGATGAAGCCCAGGCTGTCCTGCTCTGGTGGCAGAGTGTCCAGGGGGGTGGTGCTGTCAGGCAGGTCGGGCATCAGGGCGTCGTTCCCATAGCTCACCCTCATCTTACTCTGGAGAGACGACAGCTGTTGGGTGACTTCAGCCTGATCACACTGAATCAGCAATGCTGGAGAAAGAAAGGATGAGAGTCCTTAATCAGGGCTTTTCAACATTTTTAATGGCAGATTTGAATATAAGATGAAATACATTGTTTCATAGTTAATATAATTTCTAAGCATTCACTACCGTTCAAAAGTGTCACTAAGTTTTTCTTTTCTTTTTGAAATAAATATTTTAGTTTAGCAAGGAGGCATTAAATTGATCAAAAGTATTAAGCAGCACAACCGTTTTTAACAATAATAATAATAATAATAATAATAATAATAATGTTTCTTGAGCACATAATCAGCATATTAAAATGATTTCTGAATGATTGAATGATTGACACTGAAGACTGGCTGCTGAAAAATTAAGCTCTGACATCACAGGAATAAACTAGATTTTATAATGTACTAAAATAGAAAACCTTTTAAATGGTAATAATTTTTTTCCACAATGTCTGTGTTTACTGTATTTTTGATCAAATAAATGTAGTCTTGGTGAGCATAAGAGACTTCTTTCAAAAATATTAAAACATCTTACTGACCCCAAACTTTTGAATAGTAGTGCATGTGTGTTGCAGTTAAGAGAGATGAACAGAGATGATTATCATTTTAATTATGTGCATATTTGTTTTTTATTTCTTATTTTTAAAATGACGTTTTAAATTCTCCCAAACCAGTGGAACCCAGTTAAAAAAAAAAAAAACACACATTCTCCTAAATGATATGTGAGTGATTTAGTGCTAAAAGAGCCACCTCACACTCACCTACTTGGTCTTGGATTTCATTAGCCACTTGTGGCAACTTGTAGAGGTACCCCAAGGACTGGTTCATGCGCTCTTCAATCACACGCAGATGGGTCATCACCTACAGGCCCAAGCGGTCAAAATGAAGTTTGAAGTGTCTACACATTCTATGTCTGAAGTAGGAAAGAACAGCTTGACAATCTTACAAATGGCCGAATCTGAGATGCCTTCTTGGGATCCACCTCTCGCACATGCTCAAAGTGTTTGAGAGTGTGCTGCCTGTCCTTCTGCTCCGCTCGTATGTACTTCTTCAACAGACTGAGGACCTGCCGAGGCTGTACGGGATGGGACACAGGACAAATCAGGTTTTTCTTGGTTAGCGGTTATCCATAACACAGATATTAGATTAGTAGATGAGAGACACTGTGGCAAACAAATGATACAAATTACTACTGTAAACACATTTGTGCAACTTATTCCATTTTGTTTGTAGTTCAGGACTATGGTTGGGTGTGAATACCCGAGGCTGGTCAGACTGCAGGGCGCTAAGGTAGCTTTCCAGGGCCTGACGGCGACGGTCGTTCAGCAGAGCTTCCACTCGTGCCATGTGGGTTTCTACCAGCTGCTGTCTCTCCCCGGCCGCTTCCTTCTCCAACGCCTCCACCTTCTCCTGGAAGCGCTATAGAAACACGAATAAACACAAAGCCAGCAGCCATTTAATCCTGAAGAATAAAATACCACAAGTCTTTCAATCCCCTTGAAAATCCACCCTCCACTTTAATGGGAACTGTATGCTGTACTACTAAATCTGAATGCACTTGAACCGCAACCCTGCTAAGTGCTTTATATAACAGATTCATAAATCGCTACATTATATGAACAATAAATGTTGTTTACTCTTCGCCATTCACTGCTTATGAACCATCAGCCAATATATGCCATTCACAATTATTAAAAGGTTACCTGAATTATGGTCTTCTTATCAGCACGAGGAAGATTCTTCGCCTGTCTCTCTGCCTCCTCCCATTTTCTCATCACCTGAACCAAGATAAGAGAAATGGAAGGACAGAGTTATTGTCACGTTGCACACACACAAGGGACGAGGAGACGCTGGAGAATATGTTGACAGGACTTTATTTGCATGAACCAAGGAACCAAGGGAGACGTTTACAGGAAGACGTTCAACAGCGGACAGAGAACTAGGGACTGGGAACACTTTAAATACACACAGGAGGAGGGGATGACGAGACACACACCTGGGATCCATGAACCATCATGGGGAACACCTGGGACAAATTAAACATGGGAAAGGAACACCTGGGGAGCAAGACACAGACAAAACATGGAACAGAGTCTGACAGTTATCAAATGAATTCTGAACACTTATTAACAAAAACCATGGTACTGCCATGTTTTTGGACATGTACAATGGTAATAAACATAACGTAACATAACATATAACATAACATAACATATAACATAATAATGTAAATACTTAAAAAATGTGTTAATAAATAATTGTTCCTAACTAAATATTCATTTACTATTAATACTATTTTAATACAATTTTTTGAAATACTTTTTCTTTTGTTTTTTTTAATAGAATAAAATGACAAAAACTCTGCTTTGAATGTGTATCTTTAATTATACACTGCCAAGCTCCAAATAAATGGTTGATACATTTTCATGAATCACTTCAAACTGTTAGTTTCACTGAACTGATTCAAAACTCAGATTTAGCTATTTATTTGTGTCACTCAAATTGTTCATATATACAGTATGTTTCATTTTTATGCTTTAAATGTTTTAGTAAAAAACATACAGGTAAAGATTGCTATTTATTACTAAATGTATTACTAAAAATAGTAGTAGTTAAAGACAGATTACGCACACACACACACATTATATATATATATATATATATATATATATATATACAGTGGGTACGGAAAGTATTCAGACCCCCTTCAATTTTTCACTCTTTGTTATATTGCAGC